CCATTTCCAGTGATTTGTCTAAAGATGCTTGTTTGGAAAATTTGCCATCAGACATGTGAGCAAGCATTGACGTGACACGCATGCTCTTGGTTTAATTTGTTGGTTAAGTGCGAGACATCTGTATTTGAATGTGAGAACATGTCCCAGAGGCTGAATTCAGACACAATTCAAAACATTACTCAGCAACTTCTAGGGTTTGAAACCAAAATCCTAGAATATTGTACTAAGAATATAAAGTGTTCACTGACCTGAAACTTCATCAAGTGTTTCCTTAGGCACCTTTCGTTAGATTTTGTGTAATTTCAGAGGATTAAGGGAGAATCCAATTTTTTCACCCCCGAAAATGGAGGATTTTGGAGGATTGAGGAGGGTCCCTAGCAAAAAGGGCCGAGGGGTTAGGGTTAAGCCCTGTTTACTGTGTGCTAAAACATGTAGAACAGTACACTCTGTCCAATCCTAAAGATGCATTACACTTTTTGGGTTCCCTGGTTAAGCCCATGTCTGTGAGTGAGATTTCTTATCATTTTTCCTGATTTGAGATGTTAGAGGTTAACTTGCACGTCGTTTCCAGTTTGCACTTGCACAGAACACTGAGTGCACAGTTCGCATAATCGTAGCCCTTTGGGGGAGGTCTCATGCCTTGTTAGCTATAATAAGCCCTGAAAATTCACAGTATGTTATTGTTGCTTGTTTCAATTACTCCATTGGGTGTTAGATTTCCCTTCATTCCCCAGTCTCACTTGTGGATGCATTGTAATTTCACAAACTGAATTCTTCATGTATGTACGAATGTTCCCTATTTCAGAACATACTCAACTATCAAAGGAGAATTGATACCCTATTTAGTCAGGAAGCAGTTTTCAAGACCTAAGACTGGACAGCTTGGTCCACAGCTTGATTCCATGGAGTCAGTTGCTTTGCAACAAGACAAGGGTAAGGCAATATGTATATGTAACCAAAGCATGTGATTTTTGTTCCGATCATCTTATGTCCTAATTTTTCTGTCCTGTATAAACTTATGTCATTACAAATCTAAAAACACTGTGCAAAGTACTGCGGTCTTGGAATACTCTCTTTTTAATTTTTTTTTGGAAATTCCCAGTTGCATGTCCAAACATTAATGTCAGGACTGTATAGCCAAGAAATGAAAATGTTCATAAACTTGGTCCAGTTCATTCATCTTGTTATTGGAGTTATTTACATGCTCTTTACCTTTGCATGCAGATCTTTCAAGTTATGGTGGTTTGGATGACTTAACTAAGAAAGCTCGTGCAATGTCCTCATGGAATGAGCACTCAGGGGACATGTCTGACTACTACCAACATGGTGATACCTTACGGTGTCATACTTACATCATGGACAGTGGTTTCTGCATTCGAGCCAACACACTGGCAGCATACTGTGAAGCTAACAGACAGGTACCAATTTAGTTATACATGTAGATGTTGGTTCTTATTTTTCCTGTTACATTAAATCTGCTTTGTTTTGAGAATTGGTTACTTCACCAGTAATATTCAGCTAAAGAGAATGACTGAAACATTCAATATACTATACATGTACGTAAAAACATCTCTCTATGGTGACTGTCATCCACCAGATACTTCTAGTTAAAAAAAAAGAACCTTGGAGTAATAGCGTAAAGAATATGGACGTACATGTTAAAGTTCATATGTATGTAGCACAGTTGATCCAAATGACTCAACTTCTGTGTAAATTACCCACTGTTGATGACTGAGTGGCACCTGTCTAGATCTTGCTCTTCATTTCTGTTTGGATGATTCCTTCAGATTCCACAGCAGAGACAGCTTGTTGGGGAGGATCCATTAATTCATCCCACGGCAACCATCAAGACAAAGAGTCAAGTGAGAATATTACCGTGTGTTGTTTGTTATTCAACGGAAATAATGAGTAACCATTCAGTTGTTATGAATAATTGTGGTTGCTTACTCATGTAGAATATCTATATTTAGATAACTATAGTTAGCTGGGCTAACCCTTCCCTGTTTCACCACCTAAAAGTTTAGTTCCTATTTTGGTGTGCTACGAGTGTTTTAACCCCCTGTCCTTATTTTCAGTGTGTATTTTGCACATTTAACGAAGAAATTGAATCCTCAAATGTTAACAATTTTTATTTGTATTGCATAATACATGTGCATTTACATTCCAGCCCAGCCCCTGGGTGGGGAGTGGGTAGGTAGGGGTAGGAATTGGGATATAGTAGGGTAGGGTGGAGATTAGATGCTGTAGGTGGGGATTTAGTGGGATAGAATGGGTATTTGGTAACATTGAATTGTAATTAGGTAGGGTGACATGGGAATTAGATAATTTAGGTGGAGCAAGGATTTGTTAGTGTGGGGTGGGGATTTATTGGGGGGGTGGGCTGTAGTTTTTACTTGCATTACATGTATGTGTACATACGCATGTGAGCACTGCATGTACTGTGTGCATACATGTAAATTGTCCCTTCTAGAATTACACAAACATCGTTTCCCATCCATTTTGAAAGTGGAAAAGAGATCAAAAACTGATCACAGAATAGGTCACTGTGTGTGTTGTAGTACAGCGGAAAATACAAACTTTGCATGTATTTGTTTAAATGAATTGTATCTACATGCATATAAGTTTAGCAGTGGTCATGACAGCTTTGCTGTTCTACCTGTCTTGTTTCACCAATTCATTGCCAAATACCAGCTCCAATATTGATGATAAATTAAGCAGTACATCTTTTGGTTATGGTGTCTGTCAGGTTGGGCAAGACTCCATGCTGGGGGAGGGAACTACTATAGGTGAGAAGGTATCGGTCAAGAGATCAATCATTGGCAAGCACTGCATTGTAGGAGATAAGGTGAAAATCATCAATTCCGTAGTAATGGATCATGTCAACATCAGTGAAGGGTAAGTATTAACTGTCCCTATATCAGTGGTGGTCATTTTATATTGAAAACAAAACATACCCAGTACTCCAATCTGAAATCAGAAACGTTAATTCACTGACAGGAAGATCAGTACGTCTGGTTAACTTCCCAGTGATGAAATGGTGACACTGATGTTTAATGAAGATAGCTTGTTTGCTTGTTGGTTACTGTTGGAGTTTTTGTCTGTGTTCTTTATTCGTGGGGTTGTTTTCGTTGTGGTGGTTGTGACGGAGTTACTTGCATCCTGCCTTGAACTGTCGCAGTTATTCCATCAATACAGTCTGTTTTCTGTTCCTATTAGACCATTTCATACTACTTGTATTCACCTTTGTGTTTGCACAGATGTACCATTCAGGGAAGCATAGTTTGTGGCAATACACATGTTAGTGAAGCCGTTGAAATGAAGGACTGCTTAATTGGAAGTTCTCAGAACATACCGCCTAAAGGTGAGTGCCCTACAAGCAGGCTCTGGAATGGTTCATGTCATTTCTAGCGATTTTGTTTGGTTCAAATCACCTAACAGTAAGAGGTAAATGCATCAAATGGGAAATTAATTCTCACTGTCCAACAGACTTACACGTACTTAAGTGATTTACTCTTAGTACAGGTCTTTTTGCACATTCTCCAAACTTACTTTCAGTCAAATTCATAAACGGTCAACTTCAAATTCATCTCAAGAAAACTGGAACACACCAATACTCCTGTGAATTTAGTCATTGGTCATTCCAAATGATCTCTTTCAACATCTGTTCATTTGATGTCCTCAACTTTCAGTGGAGTTTGTCTTACCTGAGGATCATGTACATTATGTAAGGATTGAATTAGCCCTTGCTAAATACATTTCAAGAATGTTTTGATCAAATTCACCAAAGGATACACAACCATGTTCAGTTTTTTTGGCATGGTGGATTGCAAGGAAATAGAAATTTGAGTATGAGCAACCATCCAAAGAACGAAAAGAACTGAATCGGTTATTTATGAAAGATGTGAAAATATGAATATACTTTGCTTTTTATAACTATAGACCTACTTATTGTTAGCACGAAATAGAAAGTATACAGCTTTATTTGCCGTTGTAGAAATGTTATTTCTTGCAGTGTTTGATGCATAGAATTGTCGATGAACAAAATGGCCTGATAAATAAGTATAAAGAAGATATAGTTTTGTTTATTTAGGGTTAAATAAAAGTAAATATACAAGTATTAAAGTAAACATACAAAAAAATGAACAGATGAAAATGTAAAAAAAAGATGGTATGCGGTCATATGATGAATTTGAATGACATGTATATAACATTGATTGCAAAATGGGGAAATTGTTTCATCTATAGTACCGGTATGTTGGGCAAATGTGGACAGCTAAATTGTATTATCTTTCATGGAAGAGAATGGTAAATGTATGAAATTGAATAAAGTGAACAATGAATTAATACAAACAATATTAACAATGGGATATGAAAGGTCATTGACTTTTGAGACAAATTTGAATTTGAAATTTGAATGAATTTCAAAGAAACAGTTTGAAAATGTGTAGAAAACCTGTACTTTTCTAACATTAGCCTATGTTTGTGCATTCGGGCCAAACGGAGATGTTTTGTGTCCTATTTTCGTGTTTTGTTTTGTTATTTTCAGCCAAATATAGCAATGAAGTCATTGGCAATGCAGACAGGATGATGGAAATATGATATTGCAGGGGCCAGGGGTCAACACATCACTCAGAGGTGATTCAGGGTATCACAGTGACTATTTACAGCAAGGAATCTGCTTTATGTTGGAAGGAATAACATGATGAAGACTTAGACCAGATAGCAGAGAGATCTTCCCAACATCTACAAAATTTGACCAGTTTACCTGTACCAGTATGTTGTGAAAGCAATTGTTATTAAGGCACTATACATGTGATGGGTTCTGGGGAGGTCTATTTTCTTTGCCATGCCATTAGCAGCCATTACACCTTAATTCTCATTCATAAAATTTCATAAAGACATAGAAGAAGCTTTGAAACAGTTAAAGCTCTTCAACAATTGGTTCAAATTCTTCTGTTGTATCCCTACCTGTGTTAGAGGCCATTCAGTGAAAGGTACTCTGATTTACTTTCTGCCTCTTCATCACATGCTATTCTAAAATCAAGCTAGAATCTGCTTCAGCTTTGTATTGGAATGACCTAAAACATGACATCGTGTTTTGTTTTTATGTATATCTTTCTGGGGCTTGATAGATCAGGTTCCACTGTACTACTGTAGCAAAGTACACATGCAAACAAAGCATTGCATCATTATTTTATAGGTCTATTCTCACATGATAAAGTTGCTACGAAAGACAGATTTGCTCATTTCCATTCATTTGTTATGCTCATATAGACGTTCTTTAAATCTTTAAAAGACAAGTTTAAGTGACAACTTATTCAAAAGAATTCCGTAGTTCATTACTTTTTCGTTTGTCTAAGCGTCATGTACCGCCCGCTAAAAGAGAATGAATTCATCTTTTTCAATTAAAACTAACATCCAATGCAGAAACTGACATTTTCGTCGGAATTTAGGGGCCACTTTTATTAGTGACTGTTGAACTGTGTATTTTCAGAGGAAAACCACTACTTGACTCAACATGCATTAAGAATTCTCAACCTACGTCAGGAATTTGTGAAATGGAAATGAAAGAGCATTTGGATTGTATTTACATTTTGTCAAGTACAGAAATAATATAGCTTTTCCTCTCCAAGCTTATGAAAGTCAAGAACCTTGTCATAATCAATACAAATATTGTCTCTCTGTTCAGTGGCATCATGACTTTTCTACATGAAGCAGTAGTAGATCTGAAGTGTAAGCAAGAGTTTAGGTACAGCTACCGAAACAGAAGTTACACAGAGATTCAAATGTGGATTCCGTTGTGCTGTGTACATATTTATTTATTAGCAATGTGATTGTAACACCTTACATTTACAGTACATGCTCTTTAGATTTTTTTCACAAGTGCAGTTTGGTACATGGTATGATGACAAATAAACATATACCTACTCATTTTACCCTAGCTGTGCTTGAAGCAGTAGATGTTTCAATCTTTTACAGCGTCTTCACAGTAATTGAAGTCTTGCTGCAGTTGCTGGGTGACACACTTCTTATATTTCAAATGCTCCAGGCACTTATGGTATCAGTATATGTTTTATGCAATAAAAGGTCCTTCTGACTTGCTTCATCCAATTTACATCATCAATCTTTGATTTCAGTGGTCAGTGATTGGCAGCTCGCTCTTTCTCTGTGTTTGGCTCATCAGAAACATTTGATAGAATGGATATTGATACTGCCTCAGTCGAAGGTGATGAAAGTTATCAGCGACCATTCCCTTGAGTTGGTCATAAACAGATGTTAAGATCAGCCAAGCACATAATTTTTTCTATTCATAAATACCTTTCCAATCAAAACAAGTTTTAAAAATGAGAATTTCCAACGATTTTGTGCAACAGTTTTCATGTTGAACGTATGTACAGTATGTTTAAACACCCCTGTAGCCATATTATGGTATGTTCAACTCCTCGAGTAAATCGTAAACGATCTCCTTGGCGCACACGTTGTGCCTACTGCATAAAGTGGTGCACAGCCAGCCGGTACGGCGTTTGTCAACCATTTAAGATCGGCCATATGATGGGCTCTTGATCGTTAGAAAGGGCTGAACTTCTTAGGTATTTATTAACTTTGTGTCTACAGGAGAAAGAGAATTCTTTATTGACAAAATGAAGTACTACTTTCAACATTTATTCATGTCATACACAAATTCAAAACCCTTGCACTAGAATGTTGTAAATTACATCAGCCAATCAACGGTTGAATGATTTTGCACGGCCTGGCATGGCTTACATGAGGACGACTGATTTTGAAGATGCTAAATTAATGGATATAACTTAAATGATGCGTGGTCTTTTCACAGAAAACCATTGTCAACAGACAAAATGTACAAGATTTAACAAGATCTGTCAAGATTTAACTCGTCCCTTGATGAGAAAGATTGTCTGAAAAGATAGCTAAGCTTGAACTATCCTGTCAAGTGTTTCAAGTTGATAAGCTAAGTTATACATTGTCAATTGTGTTATGTAGATCAGCGTAATAAAGTCTTGTTCTTCATGCAGAGAGAAAGATAACATGTTCTACTGGTTAATCACATTACACGAAGTTCAGAAAGAATCTTTGATTGAAGGAAACACATTTAAAAACTAATAAAAGGAATATCTATACAGAACAGTCTCGTTGAGTGTCATTTGCCAATACAGTGTATCGTAAGACGGGATTAGAGTATAAATAAAGGAGCTTTAAAATCTAAATACCACAATACGAACAGAGAACTTAAGAACAGATGTTTAATTACTTTTAATTTGTTTGTTTGTAGTTCACCATACAACTTAATAAGTTTCCACATTGTTTTTCACAACTTCGCCTGGCATAACTTCAGTTTCGAAGTTACTTTTGTGGGTCTCACTTCAATGATGCATTCTGAGTCGCCTTTTTGAAATGCAAGTTAGGTTTTTTTCGCTTTACGCCATGGCCATGTCGTTTCATTGGTGCACGGCTGAACCTCCACAGGGATCAGAAGTGACCTGTTTGACTTCCTGTAAATGAATACATGTATTTGTAAAGTACATCCTGCATTTTTTCTTTCTTTTTTAGGTTCAAATAAAAGAGCAACTAAATTTACCTGTTTTGTTTTTTGTGTCTTATTTATTTATTTATCTTTTTTTAATTAATTATTTTTAAAATTTTTGTTAAACGTGGGAAGTAGGCAGGAACAATCGACAATAGCCTAACTAATTTTGCTGGGTTTTAGTTTGGGCTCTGCCAAAACTCGTCACGGACTTAATATGAAAGAAACGTGCATATGTTTATTTCATATAAAGTCCATGACGTATCCGTGAATTTAATTACCGAAGCGTTTACATAAGTAAGAATACACCGAACCTGACGAATGCAATGAAAAGGAAACTCCTTGCCGCAGATATATTGTATTCCATCTTACAATCAACAACGCCCAACAATATTGTCACGCCCCTAGAGTTGTCCTACCCTTAGGGACAGACCTTTGGTAGCTGAGACAGGAATATATACACACCTGTTGCTGGAAATTTGTTTTGCTTGTACAATATTTACATTTATTTTTTAAAAGAACACAAAATAAGGATAATTTCTTACATTAACATTGTTTTTAATTACAATATAAATGAGGTGATGAGTGCCTCAATGTCCCGCCACCATGTTGCTTCTGTTTCTTGCGTTGTAGTCAGCTTCTGTGGCCTGTGGCTGACTCGGCAAGTTTCTGCGTCCCGCCGCGGTCCAGCCCTTCTGTCACAACCGGTCAACCGACTCCATCATTCTTCCTCTCAACGTAAAACCAGGAACTGGGCGTTTCGTGGCTTTCCCTTTCTCAGAACAGTCTGAACGTACATGTAGTTTATTCTACTCCCATAATTAGAAGTCACTCATCTCAAGACTAACTCAACTCACGACTACAAGTCATCGAGGCTGGCCGCTGCCCTCTCCTCGGAATCCAGCGATGAACTGATCACATCAAACCATATCTTTTCTTTGCCACGCCTTATTCTAAAGAACTCAAAATGTTTTGTGTACTATACCCTTCATAAATATTCATTACTAAAATTAATGTAAAGTGGCTACATCTACCAATAGCAACTCAACTGGCACTCCGCCCATCATTCTGGCAAGGTTGACTGAATTCAGGAATGTTTGGGTGTGGCGACTCAGGAAAATAAAATCTTGTTTCACCACTAAATAACACGTTTATCTTTTCAACACTTAGGGCCAAGATTATACGGTATTAATATAAGAGTAATTCCGATTTAATATCACTCTGTGACAGATATGATAGACCGACAGTCACTATCAGATCAGAATTCAGATAACGGAGAACCTTGTAAAATGAGCTCATCAGTGTCCGTCGTGCAATGAGGCACAATGCCATTGCGAAACAGCGACAACAATCATTATACAATAATGAGATCTCAGGCTCTTAGACATTTTATAACCCATTTATTGCTCCCAATTTTCCTTGATCGTTCCAATTTTACTTACAAACTCCAAGCTGTTAAAATCTGCCACTGACTCAATCACCCACCCTTTCGTTGGTTTCACTACTGCATGAAAATGCTGGAGTGAACAGATTTTTACACAGATCATGGCCTGTAAGCCCGAGCAAGCCAACTACAAGACGATGTGGACGCTCACCAGATACCTGAATTATTCAGCAAGGACGTGTGTGTCGATTTTAGGCCTACCTGTTTTCATGGTAAATTTGATTTCAATTTTCTTGGTGGTGTTTATACCCTGCACGTGTTTTGGTTTTCCAAACCATGACCGGGGTTATGTGTACATTCTTTTATATTTAATGAAGAATGAGTGATAAAAAGGAATTTTATTTAACATTTTCACCACCAGGGCTCATTTGGTCGGTGGTTGAGTTTGTTCTACTTGACAGCATTTTTGTCTCGCGTAGTCTGTAAGGCTGGTATTGGAAAAGTAAAACGTAAAAACATTACTTCCAGTGAATTGCTCATTATTTTTGTGTTGATTATTTTTTCTCAATAAAACGTGATTTTAAATGAACTTTCTTCTCTTCTTTCATTCAGTTAAAGAAAAGAGTGGCAATTATTTTTGTTAACATTAGAGAACTGTGCAGTGTTATTTGTTTGACGGTATTATGACGAAAATGGAAATATTGCTTGAACATAATGGGACGCTGTTGCTGTCTTCAGCAGCCCTTTACGTCATCGGTTTCGTTAATTTCATATTTTTGTTCAACAGTTTTGCCGTTACATTTGACGATTTAACCATTCATCAGTTTGGCAATTTTTACATTCGATTCGCTAATTTCATCTTTCAACCCGTCACTTCACCATTCCACAGTGCAACGTAACCACTGAATGTGACAATTTTACCTTTCAATTCGGCAATTTCGTGCAATCTCGCCATTCGATTCTGCTTTGCGCCAGTTTGTGAATGAACTATTTGCGGCGATGTCGCTATTACATTTTTCTGTTGCACCATACCGTTCCACAAATTTATGCAATAGTCACCTATTTATCTCTCCACCCTGCAAATTCATTATTTCATCTGCCTAAATCGCCCGAATATTTTGCAAAAAAAGTTGTATCTTTCGGCAAAAAAATCATTTTACTTCTTGATTTTTTGGGAGGATTGCCCTCTTTTTTTATTACGCAATCTCTTCAGGCTTTTCTCACGGTTGAGGCTACATTTTGGGCTTTACGTTTCACGCTTTTAGAAGTATGGGGAATTAAACAGTCAAATTTTCGTTATTATTATTTTGCTGGGGAGCATATGCCTCTGTTCCCCACCCCCCGATATCCACCCTTTGCTATAGGGAAGTTGCCAGTGATTAGAATGTTAGAATACATAAAATTGCGAATTATTTTGCAAACAAAGATAAAACGCTGCAAATTCGAAATGCAAAGTATGCACAAAATTAAAGTTCTCTGGAAAAATTTAGGTAAAAATAAATTAAGTAAACAAAATAACGCCTGGGATTCAGTGTTCAGGAATGGTAATAGAATCTCATCCAAAACTCTGTTGAGGCGCGAGATCACATTACACAACTCCTAAAACTGATCACGTGGCCCATTTAACAGGGTATTTTATTGTAGTCACACTGGAATGCTTGGTAGCTCATAACCTCGCATCCCTGTTCTAGGGAACGGATGACAAACATTTTCTATAACGCGATAGTTGGAAGAAAAGACAAAAATTGTGGGAACTTACCGCTTAGCTGTAAGGAATGCAGAGCCCCGATTTCACTCCGAAATGTGTATACCCTGGCTCCTTATTGAAATCTAGTTAGAGATAACCCTTTCAAGAATTCTTTATCAACACCATTTTGAAAGGAGATATGGGTGGGAGTAAACACTGAAATATGCTTGATCAAATAAAGGATTGGATTTTAATGCAAAAAAGTTAACATAAACATTGATAAATTAGTCAGGTGGTGGACCAATAATAAACTGACCCCACATACTTGATTGAATGAATAAAGTTAATTATTTATCAAATGACAGGTATGACATTGCGAGAAAAAGGTACTAATTTTTCTCTTTTTTTATTTTGATAAATGGTTTTTCCAGTGGAGATTACAGGAGATCAGTTTGGAACATCAGAATCTACTTTACTTCTGTCCGATGTCCACTGCTTTTGGCATTGCCCGGACCGTTACGCTTCCGCAATGCTGCCGTCATCCGGATGCGGATCAAAGGAATTCTTCTTACTCTGGTCGTCAACGACATTGTCTAACTCCTCGCCCGATGGGCCGATACTGGTCTTCAGCACTTCGTTCTCGGTAGGTGATACCTGAAAACCGTTGTTATCAACGCCAATATTAACCTCGATCTGATGGAAAACCAGATTGTTACCTTCTTCGGTTTGTGGTATCACTGTTGGATGTTCACCCTGTGTTTGTTGGACTGCTAGTGGGTTGTGGTTGTTACGAGATGGCAACGATTGGTTTGATAGAGAGATGCCAGCGTTACCGTGAGCAGCTTCATCGGGCTTGTTGGCTGTAGATACCTTTATCTTGGATTGGCTTGATGAACAGCTGAATGCCTGTTTAAAAGCGGCGCGGTAGTGTGGGCTTGATGCATTGTAGATCAGAGGGTTGACAGCAGAGTTGACGAAGACAGCAATGCGACCAATGTCGATGACAGTGGCCCAGCGGTCGTAAGTGTCATTGATGGAGACACCGGTGACGAACGATATCATGTAGGCGACAGTGACGAACTGATTGGTGGCTTGACAGAGAAAGAAAACTATGCCATTAATGATAAGCATCTTGGCCACTTGGTTGCGTACTTTGAGAGCCTGCTGGGGTAGACGCTGTTGACCATCTGCCTTACAGATTGATCGTGAACTAAGTATTTTTACGATGTTAATGTACATGAAGATGTTGCAGGGCAGCGCAATGAGGAAGGGAAACAAGGTCGTGAATTCACCTACCACTAACCACCAGGGTATCACTGGCCGACAGAAACCCAGCATCTGAGGTAATTCTTCATACTTCTCCCCTTCAGGCCAAATGATACAAGACATGTACAACTGGCCGTATTTTGGCATGGCTATAGCCGTCAGAATGGCCGGTACCATCCATGATGTCAACACTAACCGCTTAGCTCTGGTTTTGGTGTTCATAGCTCGGTGTTGGATGGGCTTACATATGGCATAGTATCGCTCCAATGAAACCACAGTCACACAGCAGATGGAGGTGAAATAAGTGATATGGGGCACAAAGAACACCCCTACGCAGCTGAAGATTCTTGCAACGTTGTAATCACTGCGGACAGGACCAGCCCCCAAGTAGATGACATACATAAAGACGGTGACCACCAAGAATAGGATATCAGCAACGGCTAAATTAGCCAGGAAGAAATTAGTGACGGTACGCATATGTGGGATCTTGTAGACCACGAAGAGGAACGCCAAGTTGCCTGGTAACCCAAAAGCTAACACCGCTAGCATGCCTATGATGATACCAAGCTGTTCGGTGATAGCGACCACATACTCTGCTGCATCAGCAGGCACAGTTAAGTTCAGAATATGTTCAAACTCACAATCAACGATGTCCATATCATCCCTTTCAGTGAACTCCATTGCTTAGGAAAAGGAAAACACAATATCACAAGATGTACGTCAACTTGCAGCAATTTCTTGGCTGAAAGGGATATTTTGTTGAACGAAGCAGTGACTACGGATACTTGGTACGTACACAATCTGCATAGGTCTAATTTGAAACTTTTGGCAACTTGAGCTTTCAAGTCTGAGAAAAGGCGAGCGTCACCAGGCTGCTTGTGGCAGCGTCAATGCAACGCCTTGCTATAAATCCTCCTTGCCGACGTCGGGCGTTATCATAGCAACCGATGTTCCATGGATCATCGTCACTATTTCGTCGCCACGAATTCACTTAAAATCGTCAAACTAGCATTATTTATTCTATGTTCCCTGGCTGCTGAGTATCGTACAACATGCTAACAAAATGAGCTTTGCCACAATAGCCGTCAACTTCTACACATTTCAGTGGGATGCACGGGGAGCTGAGTGTTGTAGTCCAAAATGTGCTTCCGTTCGTACTCTGGTGTTATAATGGAAGTAGGTACCATGGAAGAGTTACTTATCGACCAGTCCTATGTAATAAATGGTTTAAGACACAGGCTTGCAAAAAAAAATTATTTATTTTGTTTCTAGCTAATGGATTGACAGTTGCTTCTTTGAATTCCTTAATTTCAGTCGCTGCACAAATATTTGTCAGTACCACTGATGTGCGACATCCAACGGTGAAGATAGCATGCGTTTTTGTCGACTGGTCATGTGACTCGTTCCTGGCCAATAAAATACATTATTCAAGAAAGAGGTATATGTAAGTCGACACCTTTGTTGTTGTTTAGGCCTGCGGTATTTTAAGACTGATGAGCTAATGACCATTTTGAAACAATTTGAAAAGTGGAGCGATATGATGAGAATTCTTTGCAGCTTGGTTCATTTTTTTCGAGTCCTACTAACTTCTACGAAAAAAACACAAAAATAGTGCAAAGACATGAGCGTCGCCAGAAGGTTGGCCTCCCCAATTCTCCCGGAAAAATGGAAAAAGCCATTTCAAAAACCAAATAAAGAAAAAAGAGAGAAAAGATTTAAGGGGATGAAACTTGAAAAATTATCAATTTCCTTGAAAATGTCCCAAATTTTACCGTGTCCCTAAGTTGTTGGTCTGAAGACTAACAACTCATAATGTCAAACATAATTGTCAAACCAACGCGTCCCCTGTGGGCTGTTTTGAGGCATCATCCTATATATCTATCACATGCCATTCTAAAGGAGAATTTTTTTTAATCTCTCTTTAGGAGAGATACAGGCTAGGGTGCTGGGGCGTGAATTTTCCTCGATGCTGTATTGCACATACTGTGACTCTTGCTTTGTCACTAAGCTGTGGTGTTCCATATGTGCCATCCGGCGTCGCATTTTTCAACCGGCGTGGCATTTTTCAACCGGCGTCACCTTTCAATGTGAATAAGCCATTAATCATCAGTGGTCAACCTTGGTTCAGCCGGACCTGAAGTTGTTGACGTGGATGCTAAAAGTGTGCGTACATATTTTTAATGATTATGGAAACGGCTAAATTAGCATGTATGCGTCGATTAACTGTATGTAAATAAATTAACAGCCCTTTACTGAACCCGATTACTCGTGGAAATTCACCTCACTCAATTTGGTTTCTTACTTCTGCAAGCTTTTTGAGTGAAAAAATGTCCCCGTACTGATTACTAGTTGCCACAAAAATCGAACCCAGTATGGTAGGCCCATTGTTCACTCTGGTTGTTATGGTATTTGCCATATTGCAGACATGCTTCCCGAGGGAGTGTTTATCACAGTACGGTCTGCCATTCAAAATGTAACTACTCTTGGCGAAGAAATGTCACGCATCATAACTTTGAGAAATTTTACGTTTTCTTGGTTGAAAAAAGTTGTCAGCAATACAAAATCACGCACAGTTTTCCGAAAATTTTTCGAACCATGAAAATCTGTCCAGGGAAGCCAAGACTGATCTTATTTTTTCATTACAGTAGTAGAAAGGTATTTCACACATTGGAAGTTGTTCATGCAATGGTCTGTGGTTCAGGCATTCCCCCGGTGGAGGCCGTCTGGTCATGGGCTGGAGATCATTTATCTTTCTTTGTTAGGGGAGGGGCTTGTGTTTATTACTCAACGAAATGACTTTCCAAGGTCTTGAGGACTGCATGTGAATTTAGGTTTGAAAAGTGTCACTGTTTGAAAAGGCTGTTTCGTCGTAGCTGCTGCTTCTTGATTGACCCTGGGGTGACACGTACATGTACATGCGTTTCTGTCTAATTTTCTTTTTTTCTGTGACAAATGTTGCCGTACGTGTGAGAATCTCCACAACAGATAACTTCATTCTTTATTAGACTAGTTTTCGAGTGTTTTATAACAGCTGGCGGTACCAATGATGGACGAGATCCTGGCCTCCATAGGTCTTTCCGATAAAGTAATGAAAAATGCGACGCCCAGTCGAAAAATGCGACGCCGGTTGAAAAATGCGACGCCCGTCGAAAAATTCGACGCTGGTTGGAAAATGCAACGCCGGATGGCACATATGCAACACCATACTATGTAAGCTGATTTCCATCACCCCCATCCCCAAGGAAAACCGCCCCGAATAATCCATGATTAGTGCTGGATTTCTGAGTGCTGAAATTGCTTCAAGAAATTCTCAGGGACAGACTTCAGAGTGTTTTCACTTACATGTAAAAACGCATACAGAAAGTGCTTGCAAGTGTGCAGCTTATGAATTATCAATAGACTTATATACCACATTTGGCAACACCATGTTCCTAGATCCTATCTTTTATGATGATTAAATATTACGATCCTGTTTTTTATAACTATTAGTTTGCTAAAGATAATCCATATTGAAACTTAAAACTGTCAAACTAAAATCTTGCACATTTGGTGTTCAGCAAGCCCATAAAATAGAGATAGCCTTCTTGTCCCACCCATGCTTCAAAACTTGAGAGACATAGTCGCTCGATGTTTGCAATGAAATACAGAGTGTAAAACGGAGCAAAGTGTTTGAGTTGGCCGATGAAGAAATGTATACTTCTAACAGTAATATGTAACTATTCAAAAATAATGAAATAAAATTATGTTCATTATAAATCAAGTCTATCATAAGGACATAAATTTGGGAAACGATGACTATTCTCACTGGAAATCTAAATTTATGTTACACTAAAAAAATCATTCGCCTGCTGCTCCTTCTCCTTTATGTGATACACTTTCAAAAATTACAGGTTACTTTTCCAATGTCAACGTGGTTTATGGAAAGCGATGTAAATGTTTGAATGTCATTTTTTTAAGTTATGCCCTTTGTCATTCTATCAGAGTCTCTGTTTTTGTATCTTGAGCCTTCTTTATTTGGTTTTTATTCATTTCAAAGAGCTCCCAAAATCTTGTCTAACCTCCCCCCAGAAAAAAAAACGAACAGAGACAGGGAAGTAGCAAAGTTAAAAGATGACGTCACGTGCGAAGGGTCTAACCCCCTCCCCCAAATTGGCTGTTGAACCGCGCCTGCATGAAGCATGAAGCAAAGAACTTGGGGAGACCACTTTGAGCTAGTTCTCTAAACAGATCAGATTATTACAATGATTTTAAAAATTTTGGACAAAAAGCTCTAATCCCAACCACAACGATAAGTGATAGGCATTGTACCTCAGAACTAACTACAAGACCTAAGTTTAAAAAAGTTCCAGAAAGCTGTACTTTCATTTCTAAATTTAATTTTCGTAACTCTGCTGTCTGAAAACAGATGAATTACTGCTCAATATTTTAATTGTTTTTATGAGACTAGCTTAGTTTTATACATAAGTCAGCTTCCGATTTTTCGCAAAATGTTCCGATTAATTCAGAGAATCTTTAGGTACCGGTGCAATCTGGTAGCCACCACGGCAGATGTCCGATTTGTCCGAATTGTTTCAACCCTTTCTTGTTAATTTTGATATAGTAACCCAAACAGTTAGACTCAGTCAATAGCGTCTACCCATGCAGGCTAGTGGGGGATAGAAAAGTTAAAATAAACTAAAAGTATGAACTTCTGTGTTTTCCACCACCAAAAAAAAGTAGAAAATGATCAGTGTCGTATCCAGTGGGGGGGGGGTTCTGGCCCCCGACGTTTTTTTTTACTTTTATTTTTATTTGTATTTATTTCTCAAATTTTTATTATGATATTTATGTATCAAATATTAGCACCAAAACCCTAAGAAAACAACATCATGAAGCAAAATCTAGGTTTTGGGGACCGTGAGTAAGGCTTTTGATATTTTTTCTCCCCCAACATCATGTAAAATAAGCCCAAAGCCGCATTTGCTTGTTAATTTGCCTCCCCTGACACCAAAAGCTAGATACCCTACTGGAAATGACCAAGGACACATTCTGTCATTCACTTGGTCAAACAGGGTGATATTATATATATACCCTCTCCCTGGATTTGCGCCTACAATGAAACGACTATCCACAATCTGACAGGCAGAGTGCTTTGATTTTGATTTGAAATCAAAACTTCTTGAGCTCACGATTCACTTTCATATTAAAGTCTGTGATTTATTCAGACTTGACACAGTTTAATTTCACACAAGAACGATGAAGGCAGCATTAAATGAAACAGATATTTCACATTTTAACAACTAACTCCACATAAAAATTTGGTGTATTTTCCCACTGCTTTGTTCAGATCTAACCCCCGTTGTTTGGTTGAAGTGTCTACTTCCATATTTGTTTATCATTGACATGTTAATTTTCACGGAGAGAAAGAGGAAACGAAGATTATGACCTCGTTGTTGAAGTGACGGAGCAAATTTTAAATTTTGGAACAACTGGCCATGTCTCTCTGTACTGACGTGTACGCCGGGAGGTCTCTGACGAATGCAAGGTCATAAGTTGTTGCAAATAATTCACGAGCATTGCAAGGACAGAGGACCCAAGCCTGCCCCATGGGCCCGAGTAATCTGTTACAAGAATGATACAGCTCAGGTTATTGCAAACTTAGTAGAGTTGCAGATCCCTATATTGATCCACGAGAAATAGGAAATGACTAGCCAGATTACGATAGTTCTGTCCGGCACAGTACGAAGACAAACGACCTCCACTCCCGCTAGAAGGGAATGGAAATATTCCAAAGTATCATTTTCGCAGAGAAAATGATATTTGTTGATCAGATTGTCAGGGACATAATAAGGAAAGATCCTTGATTATCACAGGTGATGACTTGGTATCATACAGAATCTCCTTATTTCCTGTTTACTCCATCGCTACAGCTCTCGCTTTCTTGAAACTAATCCGACGGACTATAGCATTGCCAATGTATGCAAGTGACAGAAATATTTTTGACAACTGACTGTTGGAATCCATCGAGTTGGCGTCTTGGTCACCGTAAGCCTGGGTACAGATATAGGATTTTCTTCCGGGGGGACCACTTTTACCAGAGGGCTAAACAATTAACGGCTAAAAGGTGGGCGTCCAGTTTAAGGTGTTATTTTCAAACAAATTGGTGTTATTATCCTCTTTCATCCTTTATATTTTTCCTTTTTTCAGGGAAGGGCCAACCCCCATCGGATTACTAAGACTTCCAACGAATTCATTAGA